AAAAAAAAAAAAAAAAAAAAAAAAGTAACAGCAGCAAAAAGAGTATCTCTGATGCTCTTTTTTTTATATAGATCAGAGTTTCTGGTCTTATTTTCCTTCACTCTGAAGAACTCCTTTCAACATTTCTTTCATGGCAGGTCTATTAGCAACAGATTTCCTCAATTATTGTTTGTCTGAAAAAGTATTTATTTCTTTTGAAGTACAGTTTTTCAAGATACAGCGTTTGAGGTTGGTGGTTTCCCCCCTTGACACCTGAAACGTGTCATGCTGTTCTTCCTGCCCAGTCTGAGGAGAGCTTGGATGTCATTCTTATATTTGCACTTCTCCAGATATGGTGCTTTTTCCCTCTGGCTTCTTTCAAGATTTTTTAAAATCTTTGATTTTATATCGTTTACATATAATATGCCTTGCTGTTGTTTTCAGATGTTGAGGGGTTTTTGTTTTGTTTGTTGTTTGCATTTATCCTGCTTGGTGTTCTTTGAGCTCCCGGACCTGTGGTTTGGTGTCTGATATTAATTTGGGGGAAATTCTCAAATGTTATGATTCAAATATTTTGCCTGTTATTTCTCTTTCTTCTCCTTATGGTATTTACAGTTTCTGTTGATATATCCTCAAGCTCAGAGATTCCTTTCTCATTAGTTCTATCTTGCTAATGAACCCATCAAAGGCAGTTCATTTATGTTACAGTGCATTTTTATTGCCAGCATTAAAAAAATTTTTTTTTAGAATTCCCATCTCTCTGCTTACGTGTTGTTGCATGTTGCCCACTTTTTCCCTTAGAGCCCTTAGCATGCTAATCAGAGTTATTTTGAATTGCTGGTCTGATAATTCCAACATTTCTGCCGTGTCTGACACTGCTTCTGATGCTTGCTCTGTGTCTTCAAATTGTGCTTCTTCCCCTTTCATATGCCTTGTAATATTTTGTTGAAAGCCAGTCATGTGATGCGCGAGGTAAAAGGAATTGCAGTCGTGGGCCTTAGCACCGAGGTGGAGAGGTGTGGAGGTGGGAGAGGTGTTCTGCGGCCCTGTGATTAGGACTCCGTCTTCAGTGAACCTACGCCTGCAGACTGTGCACCCCCCAACTTCAGGTGGGGTAGGACGGCTAGAGGGGACTGGAGCTGAGTATTTCCCTTTCCCCCGTCAGTTAGGCTCTGGTAAAATTGTTTGTCTTGAGGGCAGGCCTTGCTAAGAACAGAATTCTCTGGCACATTTCAAAATGGCGACTTCTCCCCTCTCCCTGCGGAAGCACGAGGGGTTTTCTCTGATCTTTACCAGTAGGACCTGGTAGAGGACCTGAGGGAGGTAAAACTCAGAAAAGTATAGGCATGTCCCCTGAGACTAGGCCCTCCTGGAGTTCTTTTTTTAAAATATATCTTTATTGATTTCAGAGAGAGGAAAGGCGAGGGAGAGAGAGATAGAAACATCAATGATGAGAGAGTCACTGATCAAGCCCGCAACCTGGGCATGTGCCCTGACCGGGAATCAAACCCCTATCGCCTAGATCCCAGGTCGACGCTCAACAGCTGAGCCACGCCCAGCCGGGCCCTCCTGGAGTTCTTAACTTTCGTGCTTGTCCACACTAAGCCTCCAGCATTTCCTCAGTTATAGTTCTGGTTTTCTTACCCTGGTACTGGTTCCAGTTTGGGGGGCAGAAGTTTCCCTGTCACCTCAATTCTTTGAGGGATCTAAGAAGAGTTGTTATTTTCAGTTTATTCCGCTTTTTACTTCTTGTTAGGATGGAGTGGCACCTTTCAAGCTCCCTGAACACATTTGACCAGAAACCTTAAGTGTCCCATGGACTTTTAAATTGAACAATGAAATAAAGATACGGGGATCCTTGGGGATATGAATAGGGGTCAGTCCCTGGTTGGGGCTGTGCCAGGCAAGTATATTAATGAGAGAGAGGTAAAGAAGTTACGTGTTTGCAAGGAAGTGAAAATACTGATGGGTCATGGAATCTAAAGAGGTAAGAAAGGGCATGAGAATAGACAGTGGCAAAGTGGTGAATTGGATAGGAGGACTTGATAAAGGTTAAAGAATTTCTGGAGACATAATACAACATAGGAGAGCTGGAAAGAAGGCAGTCAAAGTGGAATGAAAAAAACTGAGATTTTGGAGGTGATGTGATTATTGGTGATGGCAGAGTTAAAGGTATGATTTAGGAGTAGGTGCTTGACATGTGGTAGAGGTAGGCCATTTGGAAGCTGAGAGATAAAGGCACTGAGAGGCCAAAGTATTCGCAGTGGTCCCCCCTCCTCCCCGGGATGCTGAAGTCACCAGAGATAAAAGTAAGAGCAGGGCCAGAAAGACAAGTAGTTAGGTGATACCTATCAGTGCGGGGGGGGGGGCCACTTGATGGCCACCACAAGGAGAGTTTTTGGGTGGTACAAATGTCCTGCCTTTAGCTTCAAGGTATCTGGGCTTTTTGAAGGGGAAGGAAGGAAAAATACTTGAGAAGAGAGACTACAGAGCAGAAAGGATGTATCTTTCAGGCTGAACAAGCAGAAGTTGGTCTCTATTTGAGAGGACTTCAGGTGACAGGTTTCAAATACAGAAAGAAACATTCAAAGGACATGAGTGAATTTGCTGATCCTAGACTGTGAATTTCAGTGGGAGCAATAGAAGGGCTTGGGAACATACTGTTAGATTAATAGATGTGCTTAGTTTAGTCGTTTAGGGGGTGAAGTCCGAACGGTGATGGATTCCTTGTGTAGGACTTGGGGTTTCTGATGGGGGGAACCATTTTAAGCTAGATGGTAAGGGGCCACTTGGCCAGCCGTTTCCTTTCTGGTTCTTTGCCTTCTACAGTGGAGTGGCAGCCAAGGATAAAGGAATACTTCCTCAGGAGGCTGCCTCCTAGAGCTCTTGGAGATGCCAGATACATGTAGGACTGTAGGCCTGTGGCAAAGAGGGGGGAGGTAGAGGCCCATGGGGAGCATGAAACTAGGGACCTTTTCCATCTTCGAAATCTGACTCAGTATTAGGAAGACTCATTTTCAGGGAGCCTATATTCAAGTACTACTTTTAATATATTCAAGTGATACTTTTAATAAAAGTACACTTTTTTTTCTTCAATTGTCTAGGTCACCTTTACAAAGAGAAAGTTTGGACTCATGAAGAAAGCCTATGAACTCAGCGTGCTCTGTGACTGTGAAATAGCACTCATCATTTTCAACAGCTCCAACAAGCTGTTCCAGTACGCCAGCACCGACATGGACAAGGTGCTGCTCAAGTACACCGAGTACAATGAGCCTCACGAAAGCAGGACCAACTCGGATATTGTCGAGGTAACACTCTAGCCAGCCCGGACTGCGGATAATAATTAAGTCGTTCATTTAATTACTTGAACTGTTAGATTGTTTTTTACATACAGAATATAAATCAGTCATAGATACATCTTTTCTCTAAATCATTTCTTAGAAGGATCTAATCGCTGCTGTGTGATGAACCATTTATGCTATAAAATACCCTCTTCATTGAGACCAAATAAACTAGGCTCCTGTACCATATCCCCTTCTCATCCACGATTACTTATTTTATGAGTGTTTAAATTAATATTCTAAGAAACATCACTTTGGACAGTATGAAGTTACAGTTTTAATGTCTTAATTAACTGAAAAGAAAGAAAAGGGATTTTTTAAAGAATGATTCCTGTCTATTCAGAAATAGTGTTTTAAAACAAAACCTTTGAAAAGGAGGACCAATATCCTTCCCTTTGCAAATTCTTATAAAAGATAACTTTCCATGTATATTCCATAATAGCACTTTATATGAGCTTGATCTTTATTGAAAAGATATATACTTGGGCTTAGTTTTGTAATATTAGAAAACTAGTTCAATAAATTAGGTATTTCCTTGGTGAAAGTACTGAAACCATGTGAAATGATGCACAACTAACTATAAAAGAAGAAATGAAGCTCCAATGTAGATTTTATTCAAATAATTGAGATTAAGATAAAGATTTTTATTGTATAGGAACCTGTTTGCCTCCACAGATTATATTATAGTCCTGACAATGAGTTTAAAATTGTCCCTATATTTCTCTGCCTTAGCCATTCCTTTTTTCACAGTAATCATCACTGCAAAAAAAAAAAATTGTTACTTTTTAGCAGTCGACTAGTCGTTTGAAAAGAGGACAAGTATAGCATAATTACAGCTAGGACTCATCTCTGTTGTTTGGTTTGATTTGCCCAGTTTTATTTAAGTGCCTCACTATGGTGAACCTCCCCTGGAATGTGTATGAAAATTTTGATTGGGCTTTTGCTGAACATTTCAGTTAAACTGCATGGTTACATCTTTAGCCAAACCCCTTAATGCAGTTATATCAGTGGTAAATTATTTTATATCATTGAGCATTTTTGGTATATCTTATCACTATAGATACAATGAATTTTGAATCATAATTTTGTAAATGAGGGCATCACCATTCGGGTTAGCTTTAGAGTAGACTGGATTTCCTTGAAGTGGGGAGTATCCCTGGTGTGTTTAGTTTAAAATGATATCTTATTTTTAAAATCTCTATTTCTATAAAAAGTTGCACTTCCTTGAATCAAGAGAAATAGAGTTGCTTTAATACTGTCAACAAATAGATGTTCAAGCTAGTTTCACTATGGAAGGCAGCAACCACCTTCTTAACCCTAACTGCTCTGCTCTTTTATTGTAGCAGTGTTGTTCTTGGCCCGGAGTTGGGGTGCTTTGCACAGTCTACAGTGTACTTCTGTAGAGAATATGAAGAATCGAGTTTAATTTAGCCCTCCCAGGATTTTCAGGAGATTCCCTCAGTCTTCCTCTCTGTTGTGGTCAGCAACAGATTCCATGTCAGGGAGGAGATCCAAGCGTTTCTTAGCAGTCTCCTATATTACGTAAAGTCTGCTTCCATATGGCTGAAAACTTCTGCAGCCCCATTATCAGTTGGGATTTTGATACTTCCTTTTTAATTAGAATTCTTAGGAGGGAACATAAATCTTACCAATAGATTTTTATGAAGTTCTGAATTACATAAATACAAAGGTTAGAAGACAAAATTGATTATAAGGGATTAATTTGTTGTGCTGGAATTAATTATAAGGCTTAATTCTCCTTTCTTGTATGTTAATGACTTATTCAGTTAACCTGCATTTTAAGACAATGGTGGTTACACTTGTAAGATATTCTTTCTCCCACATGTAAGGTGATACAACTATAACCTCACAAGTAGCGTATACATGTCTGAGTTCTTTTTATCAGCTGTGGTCATGGCTTATGCTAATGTTGCTTCAAAGGTTTTTGTTAGCTAAGTTTACCAGATAAGAATAATGACAGATACTTAACGTTGAACGTCCCATGGGTCAGACACTTTAGAATGCTTTACAAATACCTCATTTAAAGATATTTTTAGAATGCGATTATAAGTATTTTTCCTTTTTTCATACATTTTCCTTTCAACCAGTTGTAGTAATTGGAAGCACACTTTTTGATGTCCATTTGTTCATTTGACAAAAATAATTGAGGGGCTGCTGTGTGCTGTGGCCTCTGCAAAGTGATGCTATTTAGAGATTTCTAATTCAAGCCACTATACTATTCTTTCTACCCAAGTTTTATAATCCATTGAGATCAACTTTTTCCAACTAAAGATTTTATATCTATAAACTTCTATCTAACATGTTGGTGTGTGATGTTCTAGACTCTTCCGCTGTCTCACGTGGCTGAGTACATTAACATTCAGCGGAGGCATATAAACATCTATAGGTGATGGACTTCAGTGTGTTTCCTTATGCAATGTGGCAACAGTGCAACGAGCTGAGAACTTTGTGAACAGCTCTCATAAGGCCTCTAACCTGAATTCACCGATTTCCTGTTGCATATTTGTTAGTCTTTAAAATCAGCAGGAGTTTACTTTAATGTCCTTTGACAGAGTCTTGAATATATTAAAATGGAGTCTTCAGTAGATGTAATTCTATTGCATCCTACACACAAGCCCTTTGGGGACGTACTGTGAAGAGAAAGGAGGATTGGTGTCTGTTGTTAACCACGCCTGCAGTCTGCAGCATAGGGATAGGATACACCTGTGTTTTGCCTGTGGAATCAGATCTAGTATGTTGTGTGGGAGCACTGTAGTAAATATATAAAAGTTGTGGGTATTTGAATATTGTGAGGGTAAACAGATACAGGGAAGGACATGACACTCGCTTTTATCTACCTTTCAATTTTTAGCCATGGGTATTAGAAACCCTCCACAGAACAATGTTCTAGATTTGTTCTTCCTTGTATCATATTGCCTGTATTTTAAAACTCGTTTCGTAAGATTTTAATCAGCTTTAACATTTTAATTATAGCTGATAACAAATTTCTATATCTACTTTTTAAAAATCAACATTTACATATTTTAAGTGGCACGTATTTTAAATTAAGGTCTGCAGTGTCTTGAAGGAAGCATATATACCCACTGTGTTGAGGAAACTATATGAGGATGGAAACTTACACATTAGGAAATTAGGTCATCTTTAACATAAACTTCATAAGAACCTTCATAACTGGATTTTTTTGAAATGGAGAGTATCACTACTGTGTTTAAAATGACATCTTATTTGAAAATATTTATATACTGCTTTTATACTAAGTAAAAGCCCAGAACCAATGGAAACGCTCTGCATCAAAATAAATATTATGCTAAAGGCACAAAATGAGGATTTTAGCAGCTGCTACACAATGAAAGCCTGAAATTACTTTCATATCTTTTTTTTTTTTTTTTTTTTT